CAGTGAACACTTCATATCAGGCAAGTACCAGTTAATGAGACAGGCTCGATCGTAACCACATTTCTTTGTGGTTGATAAAGGGCGTGGTACTGTACTGCCCTTATGAGAGATGTCCTTTAATGTAATTTCATATTAGAGAAAAGATGAAATTAACATTTTGTTGTAGCAGCTAATTGAATTATTCCAACAAGCAGCTTTGAATATATATCTACAACAATCCTGACCTCTGAGTCTGGACATGAAAATTTGATTAGACTGTACCGCTACTTCTGTGGTGGCATTTGTTTAAAGGTTTTCTTTCCATTTCCTAAAGCCAGACGATGCAGCAATTATGGATCAGATGAGAAAATTTGTCTACTAGTACATGTATATTTAGCTGAAATTGTAAAAGTATATATTTTCATGTGTTTTAGTCTCCTCTTAGCTGCCATTTTCAGGACTCTTCACCATTCAAAAGATAGTTTATTTTGTTTAATTTTTTTATGCTTTTGGAGAGTGAAAATATGAAAGATATTTTCACTCTCCAAAACCCATGGAAGTTTAAATGCAAAAGGTATTACTAGTTATAATTATCCAGCTTTAGGGGCCAAATATAAAGTCTGTAATTTAGCACTGCATACACCAGTAGTTGCATAGAGAAAAGGTAAAATTAAATTGTCAAGCAAAAACCCTCAAATTGAACCCATAATATGCTGAGGTTATGTACAATCTAAAGTTAGACAAATATGTTTACATTTTATACCAGTATTGTATTTCTAGTGATAAAATTATTGTCCTGTTTGTAGGTGTTTAATAGCAGATTTTAGATGGTTTAGATTGACCACTTGAGTTTAGAAGCACAGTTCATCCATCAGCTTTGATATGATTTATTTCTTAACAAAAATATTGAGATTAGGACTGGAAATCTCAGGGTACCTCATGATTTGACACGATACATGATACATAGCTACGAACAAAACAATATTATCATATTCTGGTGATACATGAGATAATCGACATATTATACCATTAGAGGTGGGAAAATAAAAAATACATTTTAACAGCCATATTTCTTTGTTAAAACTGTACCTGCACCAACTATTTGAAATAAACCCATTTTAAACTATACATTTCAAATACATGTGGCTAAAATGAAAATACATATTTTGTTAAATTAAGTGCCACATATATCATAAGGATATATTCAGGAGAAATAGCCATTTTAGCACTCTATATTTCTTAATTTCTTTATTATTTTCAATTTCATTAGTTACTAGTTAAATGATAACATTTTGACAGCATTACCTTGCCTTATTCAAAACATTTTACATGTATTTGGGGCCATCTTTGCTAATAGTAACATAGTATTGTTTTAAAGACATATTTCACGAGCACAGAACCTCCTATCCACCATGCAGCCACACTACATGTGTACTAGAGCCCAACCGATAAGGATTTTGCTGTGGCCAATATGAAACCGATATAATGGGAGTTGGAGCTGCCGATAGCTGATATAATCGCCGATATTTAGTGATGTAAAAATTCACTGTAAATGTTGAATTGTTTAAAAAAAACTTAGGTTTGGCTCTGGTGGATTTTAAATTGGGTTTATTTAGGCAACATTAATTGTTATTCTGCCTCTTTACATCATATTTACAGACAGTAGGTTGGTTTAATGGCATTTTTGCATCACATTCTAGACACTAGTGATGGGTATTCCAGTTCTTTTTAGAGAACCGGCTCTTTTGGCTCGGCTCACTAAAAGCTGCTGGTTCTTTTGGCTCCCAAGTGGCTCTTCAGATTGTTTTGTTGCAAGCAGGTCTAAAGCAGGACTGAATCAGGACTGAACCGGGTCTAAACCAGGACTGAAAAAGGACTAAACCGGGACCGATGCTCCTTTTTTATCCTATGTACACGCAAATTTCTCGAAGTTTCGTTTTCAGCCGCTGCCGCTGTCAAACCACGAGTCTGCACGCGGCGTGAAGAGAAAAAAAGTGAGAGAAACAGAAAACACGGCTCCCAATAAGGATCAGGTTCCCGTCGTTTGCTTCAAAGAGCCGTCTCTAAGAGCCATTTCGTTCGCGACCGACCCATAACTAGTAAATAAACAATCGCTATTAGCCTTTAGCCGTAAATACGTGCGCGCCGCGGTAATTTATTATATGCGCAAATGTCATAATTCACACCTCTATTCACAGCTCATTTACATATCAGTGCAGGTCCAGTAACAAATATACGGCCAATATAATCAATTTACAATAGACCAATAGAAAACAGTCTGTTTATGTGCGGGAGCTACAGCAGCTAACCCATACAAATGATCAAAACTAGCTTCAAAGTCGACATATTTCCAACACTCAGCCTCACACAGGCTCCTCCTCACATCACAAGTCTGAACTAATAAATGTCCTTTTAATCCAGACTCAAACCGATTGTCCGTAAAAAGAAAATGATCTCAGTGTTGCGCACCGCTGCGGGTGTAAACAAACGCACGTGAGTGACGCAACTCTGTGGTGTGTTCAGGGACAGTACGGACACACACACAGACAAATGACTCCGTAGATAAATACTGATGCGGAGCCACATATTAGGACATTTATCTGTCTGTAAATTGGATTAAATGAACAGAATGTAGAGAGTCTAAGATTTTTAACGATGTATCACATGCCCACGTGAAATATCGGTCCCTATCAGCAAGCATATCGGCCGATAGCCGATATGCCTCCAGGTGCCCATATCAGCCGATAATATCGGCCAACCGATACATCGGTCGGGCTCTAATGTGTACTATGTTTTTCTCTTTCCATGTGTGTGACTGTTTCTCTTGGCTCCACTATGACACAAGTTTTCTGTCTCCTCTGCTTGGGTTTTATTAGTCAACTTGCGCTTGACTCTGAGCTGTCTGCATGTCTGGTGTGTACTGCGCAAATATCTTCCTGGAAAGAAGTAGTCAAAGCATTTGATCCAATGTGTGATACAGATGCACAAAGATGGTTTCATTAGTCTATTATCTGTTTACTCAAGACACGCAAGACATTTCACTGGGGCAGACTGACAGAGACGTGGCTTTGTTTCTGCAGCAACCGCTTATTTCACCACCAAAAATCAACCTTTTATGAAACTTATTTATTCAAATTTCAATGCTACACACAAAAATTTGAGTTCCTTTATTCCCATTTAAACACAGTCATCTTACAACAAAATTGATCCAGTTGTGTTATTTATCCTGCAAGTAACTGTTGAATATTTTGATACATTATGATATGTATCGGCTGAACCAATATCATAGAACCAATACCTGATTCAGTCAATTTTTCAGTATTGATGCTACTATTCAATACCCTTATGGTATCGGTGCATCCCTGCTTTTCCATGTAATGAGATGTGTCCTTAGCATTTGACCTCTCCTTCAGTGCTGCTGGGACAACCTGTCAGGAGCAGAGGGTGACAGAGCAGGCTCCAGAGACCCATCCCCAGATCTTTGGCAGGGCTTGGTCCAGACTACATTAGCTAGAGGATTTTGTTTATTTGGCATGTTTCCAAGTGAATGCAAGACAACTAACCTGGACTGTGCAGACTATAATTCTAATTGCTGCTAGCTTACTCAAGCATGCTGTTAGCTTACCAAGTATTTTCCTGGACTGCTTCAGCTTGAATAGGCTTGAATAGGCTCAAAAGTGCACTCTCATATCTAACATGCAAAGAGATGTCCCAGGACAGCTGCACTAAAACACACAGCGCCATTATCCTGTCCTAATTACACCAGCTCTGAGTCAACCTCTCTCCTCCTCTGGGGTGCTCTCCTGTGCGCTCCCGCTTTCAGTTCTACAGCATATTTCTCACAAGTGCTTCCTTCTTGTCACGGTTGTCGTCCTTATTTGGGTGCAGGAAACTCCCTCTGGGCTTGTTAGATGCTTAACTAGTTCAGACATGTGGAGCTGATCTGTGTTACATGGATGTTAACTGGTAAAGACAAGGCAAATGCACCTGTGTCACACTCAGGGGGCAGCCACTGAGTTCAAGGAGCAGTTTCTTGGATTACTATTTGTATTTGGGTTACTGTAAATTTAAATTACTTTTCAAACTGTATAATTATATACATTTTCGATTTGATGTAAAGGGCATGACCTTTTGTAATTGTTGTGTTTATCCACAGGTATCTTGATCTGTTTCCTTATTACCTACATTTAATTAACATGTATTTTTTTATTATTCTTTCAAAGCTCTGTTCATTTGCTGAATTGTTCCCCTGGGGTCTGTTAAGTCTTGCGTTTTGATGGGTCCCAAATGGCTTTCTTGGAAAAGTAGTGAAATTTTTTCTTTTTTTTTCTTTAGCTACTTAAATGATTGTTCGTCTTTTAGTTTGTGAGAAGATGAATAGCTGCCCACAGCATGTTGTCTTTATCAGATGATGAAGTTACTTGATGTTGAACTACCGTACAGGTCAATTCACATTTTTGCCAACCAAATTGTGTCCCATGGGAGTCCATTCTCCTCCACAGCTGACTGGGCTTATTTGCATACTTCCCTAAACTCCTCAAATACCTTCACAGTCAAGTAGAATTTGCAGTACCTCTCAGTGAATAGGTTGTGGGCTGAATCCTTGAGCTGCTAATGACAATCTGAGTGAAGTCCCCAAGAGAATAATTTGGTGATTTGATCTAGCAAACAAAATGTGAGTTTGAATGGTTGTCCATGAAGCTGTATCTCTCTATCCTCCCAAACTGAAAAAAATGCAAACTTTATTTTTTGTTTTTCTTCATCATTTTATATTGTCTTCTTGGCTTCTGTAGCAGCCATGTTATGTGTGCATGTGTCTTCTCTCTAGTCTGTAGCCCATCTGATGCTTGTAGTTGCTAGTTAGACCCCACGCACATCCTGAATAAGAAAACATCTTTCTATCTGTTTCTCTCAATATCTTTACCACTACTTTAGCTTTTTTAAGTGAAAATAATAATAATAAATGTTACTGTTAATAGCAGTTGTGTTATGTGTGTGTCCTCTTTTATTTTGTGGCCCAGGTGGAATCGCGGGACACGTTGAACAGCATTGCACTCAAGTTTGACACCACGCCCAACGAGCTGGTTCAGCTCAACAAGCTTTTCTCAAGAGCAGTGGTGCCTGGCCAGGTGTGCACAACCGTCCTACCAACAATACATAAACACACAATCAAGAAACAGCCTGTGTTCACATACTCCACACTTACTAAACATTCATCAATCAACAATCATACTTCTAAATAAGTGCTCATATACTGCATTTGTGTCAGCAAAACTTTAACTTTGTTTCATCTGTTATTCAAATACCATGTAAATAATATTATAACATATGCATACAGGTCAACAGGCAAACAGGTCGCACAGAGAGGACTTTAGGACTTTTGAGTAGTAATTATTCATTTGAATATATGATATGAAATTCTTACTAAATTGCCTTCTTGAGTGTTCTCTATGGGACTGTGATATGTTAAAGAAAATCCAACATTATTTGTCTATTTTCTGGCATTCGTGAATTACTTTTGGAGATGAGCCACATTTGCCAGTTCTATTGGCAGTCTCTCTCTCTGTGCAAACAATTCTTAAAATCCAGTTCAGAAGCTACAGCTACACCCTTTATTGTTGTATCTAGTATTAAACCAGGTCAAGTCTGTATAAGATTATTAATGGTACAAAATCATCAGTTTCCATCTTAACCACATTAGTGGTTTTAAAGTAGTTGACCTGTATTTCTCGTCCATGCTGTAGATATTGTGCAGGTCTAATTAAGGCTATTATTAATGTCCCTATAGATTGTACAGGCCCTTAGTATTGCCTTATATCAGCATGGCACAGCAGCACTGTACTTCATTTTTCATTCAGGTCTAACATGCAGAGGTAAATTGCCTGGAAATTAATACGAGAAGAAGCCATTGTCAGTATCCCCATTGAATTACATTGTGAGATGCATAACATGCTTTAAGGTGTGCATATAATTAATGCAACACTTGGGCTAGTTCAGACCTCTGCCAAGACCCAATGCCGTCTGTGCCTTCTATGCCCAGTGATAAAAACGAAATATATATATTGTGACTACACAATGACTCAAAGTATGCGAAGAGGGCTTAGAAATATGACAAAAATCAAACTTTTTTTTTCTTAAGAATCAATCCTGATTGACTGATCTTGATTCAATGTTATTTTGTCTTATTATACAAAGTTGCTGCCGATATACATTTCCTGAATGTAAACAATATATACTTTTAAATAGACATTTAAAACAAAAAATCATAAAAAAATAATAAACTCTGCTGTACACAACATGCTTTTACATGCTTGTTTACTTGTTGTTGTTATCTAAGTTAAATAAAACTACATTTCACACCATTATCATCACTCTCCCTCTCTGTTTACCCTGTGCATGTTATGATTGTGCCAAAGTACTTTTATATTATTTACCTTGAACAAACCAGGTGAGCATGTGTGTGAGTCAGAGATAGTCCTTTATCTCTATATGTCTCTATGTGCGTATGTGTGTTTGTGTATGTGTGTGTGTATGTGTGTGTGTTTGCCCGTTGGCCTGTGTAAATACATGGTTCCTTGTGTTTGCAGGTCCTGTACGTTCCTGATCCCGAGTACGTCTCCAGTGTTGGAAGCTCCCCTTCCCTCAGCCCTATCAGCCCTTTGTCCCCCACCTCCTCTGAAGCTGATTTAGACAAAGTGACGGTATGTGGACCACACAAATGATAGCACACACTAGCATAACGCTCCTTGCAGCAGCAAGGTAAAAAGTAAATCTCTGAATCCTCTAACAGAAGTTAAAGAAGCTCTATGTAACTTTTCTGGTTGGAAGCTGCCACTGCTTGCATCCATGGAAATGTTATTGATTAACCTGAAATGTTCCACAGTATGACTCTGAATGTTTCTGTCTTGCGTGCATTCAATTACAGGTGTTTTTATTGCTCAAGAAATACCTTGAAACATTCATGCTTTCTGTAAGTGGAGCCACGTCTCCACAGATCTGGCTTGTAAATTTGCCAGGTGGTGTCATATCTATTTATGTCTATGAAGATGTACAAGGTCAATGCCATATTGCGGAACATTCCAGGCATCTCCTTGGAGACAAGCAGGTGGCAGATACTCCACTAGAACTGTTACATAGTTCACCTTCATGTAAATATAATGTCAGTTTAGGCATGACATTATGAACATGTTTAACATGTTTGGTGCTGTAAGATAATGTCAGAGGCTCTCCATAGAGCTGACCATTAACCTTTATCCATTGTGATTACCAAGTGTATTTCCATACTGTGGAATAATCAAGGCAAAACAGTAATATCTCCATGGACACAAGCATGTGACGGACGCTCCACCAGAAAAGTTAGACCGCTTACCTTTAAGCAGTTTTAATTAATTAATAAATTGTATTCTTTTCAGTTATATTAACACATTTATATTGAGGCCTCTTGTGATAAGTTTTCCAGTTTACTTGACAATCCTTTTCTGTGTATTTTTTTTCTTTAAACCCACTGTAGCACTTCCTCACCAAGCAGCAGCAGTCATGTAATTTCAGCCATCTCCCTTAAGCTACAGCGTCTGCAGCAGCATCAGAATGAGCCAATCATTAAGAGCCACCCAAAGCGGCCTGTTCCCCCTTAAGAAATATCACTGTTTGCTGCTCTCCATGGCAACTGACTTTTTTTTTTTTTGCACCACTTTGTAAGAAAATGGCTTCTGCTGTCTTTCATCGTCATCACTGTCACTTCAGTTCCCACATCCTCCCACCACAGCACTGCAAAGCTTCGCACTCTCCTTCACTAATTTCTCCCTAGAAATAACAGCATTTTTATTATTGCTTATCTATTTGGGTCACGCCTTTGAGAGAAATAAGAAGGGGAGCATATTCAGCGGGGTTGGGGGAAAATGGGTTGAGACTGCCATGGAAATTAAGCCTTTAAAAGTGATGCTGGGTCTGATATTTAAAGCGACTAATGAACAAGAGCCGGCTCCCAGACAGGCAGCCAGGCAGCAATTATTATGTGCAGAAGAGGAAGTGTGCTTGGAGGACAAGAGAGCATTACCTCACCACAGTGTCAGTGTTGTGTGTTTGTGGAGGTGATGTATGTCTGTGTGTCTTATTATCTTATTCCTTTTAGCGCATGATATTTTTTCAACTTGACCACTAACCACCAGGTGCTATTTGAATTTTGAAACAGCAGTGAGAACTTAAATAACTTCTGTTTTGTTTAGGGAAGCCCTGGCATCTTTAATTACAAGTATAATTGGCTTCTGGCTATGCCCATCACAACAAGGGTCCAAATGAGAATCCGTGGGAGGTTGGTAAAAGCAATGTAGGCAAGAAATGAGTTGACAAAATAGCAAGAGGAAATACATTTATTTTTATCTACAGTAGATGATTCCAAAGCCAACTGAAATTTGTTCAGATATACTCAATTGTAGTGACCATCCCCTACTAGACAACTAGGCCTGTCACGGTAATTAGTACAGTACCAGTATATCGACTTATCATTTATCGTTCAATTTATGAAAGCTGAAACAATATGTTTTCAGAGTAAATATTATCACATTTTCTTTTTCTTCACTCTTGGAACATTTTTGGTTAGTTTTTGACTTTTTGATAAAATTTAAGCCATAAAAGGTTGAATGAATAACTTCTATGACTATTACAGATGCAATTTGAGTACTAAAGTATTTCCTTCTGCTATTTATTTATTGCAGCTCATGATTTGTTTTATAATATGGTTCATTTAGAATACTTTTTGTGGTTAAAATCTGCTCTTGGGTTATCGTATCAGTGACATAAATTAGTTTCAATATTATCATTTATCATCTATATTTTCTTCAGCAATCTAGCATACTTGAAAATTTGTTATTGTGACAGGCCTACATCCAGCATGAAATACTGTGTGAACTAGTATATCTAAATAGTGAATGAAGACGAGAGTCAGCCCATACTTGTCGGGAAAGACTCCAGCTGTGCAAATTTATTTAGCATTTCATTTTATTGGAGATACTTTACACAACCTTCATAATTTATAACAACATTTAGAAGACTTGAGTGAATGAAATGTAGATGTTTGTTGCACACAGATCACAGAGCCAGAGGAGTCAGTGCTCTTTACTCTGGGTCTGCCTGCTGGCCCTGCTGGTGTTGGCAGCACTAAGTAACACATCTTGCAGGCATGGATCACTCTCCGGCTGTCTGGGTGGTGTGTGTGTATTTGCGTGTGTCTAGATGTGTGTGTGGGTGTGTGTATGTATGTGTGTGTGCGTGTGTGTGTGTGTCTATATCTGTGTCCATCTTGCAAGCATGGATCACTCTCTGGCTGTCTGGGTTGTGTGTGTGTCTATGTGTGTAGGCATGGCCAGCAGGCGGACTTCCAGGCTGTAGTCTTTGGATTTCTTGGCAGTCTCAAGCTCTTGGTCATCTGTACCGGAAGTTGTGTCCTCTTTGTCCTGTCCAGACTCCTGACTCTTAAAGCAGCTCACATCATGTCCACATCACCTCCATCAACTCCACACTATTGGCATCTCGCCGGCCACCCACCCACTCTGCCCGCTTCCTTCCTTCCTCTCCTCCACTGGGTCACAGTCTAAAATTAGCCCTCTAGGATGTAGTTTAGCAGGTCTGATAGAACCCAATATTAAACTGTTAGCATACAGACTATATTCTAGCATGCGTGAAACACAATTCATTTAAAAATATTTCAAATTCTTAGTCTAAGTTTAATTTCAGATTGTATTATATAGTAACATGGATCTAAAGACATCTTACCACATATTAGCAGTCTAGTAATTACAAGATGTTTTATATTTTGCAACAAGATCTGGGGTTCAATTCCAAAATCATGTTTATTGATTCTATGTGAAGCTTCTTTGTGTCTGGGCACACAAAGAACCTTGTACCCTGAAATATATTTTTGTGCATTTCTTTTTTACTCTTTGACTGAATAAAAAATAGAATTTGGTGAGAAATGACGTAGAGACAGATGGCAGACATGAAAATTGTCTATGAGAAAGAGCACCCAGACAAAGCAGTCCTCAGAAATATCCCCTGCCCACTCAATTTTATCTGTGATTTACCCAGAATCCTTTTCACGCGGTAGTCCAAGATGACGCCATTAAACTCTTTTGTTTGTGCTCTTTAGGAGCATTATATTCCTCTCAAGTGCTGTCACATTGTTTGGGAACGGAATTTCACAACAGTACAGCGTGTACTTTACGACTTCTCACCTCGTTCATTTGATGTATCCCCCTCATTGTCTGCTCTCTCTTGCAGAACATGCCGTGCCCACAAGGTGGAGCTGTGGATTGATTTTTGATGTTCTCTATGTGTCACTGTCAAGGTCATAGCCTGTTGTGTTACCTGAAGGCCTCCTATAAAATCTTTATTACAACACACAGACATACAGTGCTAATATCACTGACAGTCACGAATAATGTAACACGTTCATTGTTGAAATGTCAGAAAGTATCTTTTCATTGCATACATTGTAGTGTGTTTTATTCATATTTATCCTCAGGCCTCAGTGAAAACTATATATTTGCCCATGCAGTTTAGATTTTCCTGTCTTGTGCTTTGAAATGTGGAGAGAGAGGGATAGGTTGGAAGCTAAAAGGATATTGATTTGTGTAGCCTAAGCTGTCATATTGCTGCCTGCCTCAGAGCCAGCCCTCCCCTGTAGTCCTCTCAGTAGATTTCTATGAGGTCCACTGGCTCCTGTTGGTGGCCACATTTTCCCTTTTCTCTCACCACAGCTTTTTCCCTCCCTGCACTCCAGTGGTTCCCAACATGTTATGCAAGTGTTAAAAGTGCACTGTGCAACTTTTCTGTTGAAGGGTCTGCCGTCTGCTTGTCTCCATGGAGATGTTATTGCTTAGCCTGGAATGTTCCATGTTATGACATTAAACATTTTCATCTAGAATTTATTCATTTATTCATTACAAGTGTTCCTATTGCCCAAAAATATATTAATTCCTTCTGTGAATAGGTGTGACTCTCCACAGATCTGAATTGTAATTTAGTGTAGTGCTCTAACCTGCTTCTCTCCCTTGTGACAGATGGCTTTAATCCAGGGGTGTCCAAACTTTTTTCATCAAGGGCCACATATGTAAACACAAATGAAGCAGAGGGCCGATTGAGGGCCATAGACTGGTACTCAATACAGTAAATAATTGAAATATGTGCATATTTAACACATTAGAAAGAATATAGACTGATGGCGCATTTTAAGATCCTTAAAATCACACACTAAGGTAGATTTTTTGAAAACTTGCAGGAAAAAGTTCATTTTTAATTCATGCAAGGTAATTTGGGCCAGTTCACCTGGAAGCCTGAGGGCCAAGAAAAAATTGTCTGAGGGCCACATTTGGCCCACGGGCCATATTTTGGACATGCCTGCTTTAATCTATACTGTGGAACATTCTATACAAAGCAATAACATTTCCATAGAGACAAGCAGGTGGCACAACCTCCACTAGAAATGTTACACACTGCATCTTTAATGATTACCCAAATAGATACTAGTGATTTTAGAGATGGATAACAACCTGTTTTAGTGCTGTTAAAGGTAAAATATGGAATTATTCTGATGGAGATATTATTGCTTTGCCTGGAATATTTCACAGTATGGCGATTAACTTTAATTTACAGATTAATAATAAAGAGTTGCTCAAACATGTGTAAATGAAACAAAACACAACTATTTATGTTTGCTGAGTAACAACATTTTAACATCGTTTAAAGCTCACAAGAATCCATTTTATGCAATACAGATACATTTTGACACATTTCTCCAGGATTTAAATTATTTTATTCCTGGATATCTATATGAGGATACTCAAAAAAAAAACAATCTGTCAATGCCAACCATGCTCCCCTACTACAAAAATTATGTTTGTTAAAAAAAAAACACATCCATGTGTCCTTGCCCTCCCTCCAGAGCCCCCCCTCCTCACCTCAAACGCCCCTCTGCTCCACCACAGCCGTTACTCTCAGTCAGAATGGCAACGCTTTCATCTCTAAATTTCTGCCTCAGCCTCCACTCTGCTGCTCATGCTCTTTTTCTCTCTTTGATGTCACACAGTAAAAAAATACTTTATTAAAAATTCCGGTCATTCCAGGATACCTTGTAAGTCAAGTTATTGCCAAACTGTTTTCTTTTTTTTTTTTTTTCAAATTGAAGGGCCCATATTACATTTTCTGATCTATGATATAATGTTGTTTCCTCATCAAAAACATTCCCAGACTGTGCTTTGTCTGATTCACACTCACAAACAAATATTTAGGCTGAGTTCTTCTCTCAGACTAAAAACATTCTGTTACACCTTGTGATGTCACGTAGTAATACAGGAAGTGCTCCACTCTGTTTTTAAAATCTATACACCTTCATTAGAATCATTTGGATAATTTCAGCCCTGGAATTGCCAATCTCTACTGAATTAAGGATAAAAAGTAGCTGGTAACATGAAAATACCACTTCATAACATCACAAGGTGGAACAGAGTGATGTCAAAAAGAATAGAGGGTTACTCAAACATGTATGAATGAAACAAAAACAATTCCATGTATGTTTTGTGGAGGTAACAACATTCTAACATGGCTAAGGGCTCACTAGAGTCAGTTTAGAATAATATAGGATCTTTAAATGGCAGATTCTATTTATCCTCCCCATTTAGTAGAGATATCAGTGCACCTCTATCGTTCTTATTGAAATTGGAGCACCACCCACTTTGATTCATGATGATGGTTGCCTGTCACGATAACAAATTTTGAACTTTCATGTATTGAATAACATAGTCGTTATCATGGTAGGCCCAATGGCTGCTTTGTAGTGCTTTTATAATGTTTGATACCCTATGAATGACAGCCCATTTCAAGAGTGTCTTTAATTAGAAGAACTGAAGAAAAGGCATTCACTTTTTCAGGCAAAAGCACAGAAACTAGGACAGCCAAAATGTAACATTGTACAAAGCCAATTCTAAAATCATGTGGACAATGTGTGAATTACATTCATTCAATGATTTGATTTAATTCATCTCTTACCAAGACACCAGTTTTTCTGTTCTAAAGGGATCATATTACACTTTCGTCTGATCTATGTTATAATGTTGTTTCCTCAACAAAAAACATATCTGTTCTTGTGTTGTGTTGTGTTTTGTTTCATTCACACATGTTTGACACATAAATCCTGCATATTAGGCTGAAATATTCTCTCGAACAGAAAACACTGTCATGTGGTACAGGAAGTGCTTCACTGTGTTTTTAAACTCCACACACCTTCAGTAGAATCATTTGGATTATTTCATCCCAGGAATCTCTACTGAACAAAGCGTAAAAGGCAGCTAAAAGTTAATTTGAAAACTACTACATGACATCACAAGGTAGAACAGAGCATTTTGAATTTGAAATGTAGACAGACTAATAATAAATGGTTTCTCAAACCTGAATGAAATAAAAGACAACTCCAGGTATGGTTTTGGATTAGGTAACAGCATTCTTACATGGCTTAAAGCTCAGAGTATTTTTTTTTCTTCATAATATAGGACCTTTAAAATACTAAACATTCACCAGAAAGTTCTGTAAGCTAATAATTACTGTCACTGAAATTAATTACTCTTATTGCACAAGTAACTTTGAAAAGCATTGCATTATTAAGAGCTATGATGTCATTCTATTAGAGTGTGACCAGGTACATGGGGAAGTCAGTGGATGCCAGTAGAATGTAATAGGAAACTCTATACAAAGATCAGATAAGGAGAGGGAAAGTTAACTCCTTATGTTGTACAATAGTGAGAGGATTTTCAAATGTGTGTTTCATAATCAGTCAAAATGAACTCTTATAGGTGCAGTGTGTAACTTGTAAGGTGATGGGTCTGCTACTTGCTTGTCTCCAAGGAGATGTTTTTCTTTTCCTGGAATGTTTGACAGTAGGGCATTAAACATATCTTCTTTGCATTTGTTTAATTACAGATGTTTTATAGCTTAAAATACCTTGTTCAGGCCATGTTCAGGCTTCTCCATAAATCTGACCATTAACTTGTCTCCATTGTGATTACCAAGTTTATTTCCATACTGTGAAATAATCAAGGCAAAACAATAATATCTGCATGGACACAAACTGATGGCAGGTCAGGTCCTGCACCAGAAAGGTTACACAGTACATCTTTAACTTTGAATGTTTACTTTTGATTACTACTTGCAGAATGTAAAAACTTTATAATGTCAATGCTCTTTGTGTTTTATGCTCCTAGCTCTTTTCTAAAAGACTGTGACACAGCGTTTTCTCATGTACACTGTGGGACGTGTGATGGCTGTCATTTTGTGACCAACACATAGCATCCCGTCTTCAGATGTGTCAGATGTAATCACAGTGAATATTCAAAGCTGTTTATTCAGCCTTTCTCTGAGGGTGGACATGTTTTGGCTCCTGAAGCTGCTCTGTGCATCCCAGGTTTGAGTGGGACAGGTGGAAGAAGGACACACATGCATGCATTAGTTATTAGTCTTTTAAATATTTTACCTGAACTGTTGAAGTTATGTATAGGCCACATTTTGAAGTACGATGTATTGTATTGTATTGAATATGTAAATATAGATGATAAAAGATAATATATATTTTCAGTCTCAGATTTTCCAATTTTAACAACAATAAAATAATACAAGATTTTGATTTGAGCTCATTCTTTGCTCTGGTTTTAGAGGCATGCTTTGGCTCTGGCAGACCGTGCGCCCCCTCACTCTCCAGGACCATCAGTGTCTAGGCTGCTGGTGCTGTGTGGGTCAGTGACTGCAGGCTGTTTGTGTGGAGCTGGAGACTGTATAAACTGTAACAGAGGCAGAAATAAATTTCTGGAATATTGCTGCATACAACTGTAAGCTTACCATGAATCTTGCAAAACACATTTATTTGTAGTCCAGAAGCTGCTTTGGACTTTCGGTGGTCAATATATTTTTTCACTATGGACAGGTTAAACAGTTTTAACTGTAACTGTAGTGGTATTGTTAGTAACTGTAAAAACTATGCTGTGATGGTGTGGAAAGCCAAAAGAGGAAATAAGTGGCTAGGTGTGGATTATTCAGCATTTGTCTTTTAGAGATAACAGATCTTGTACTTATTTTTGTCCAGAACTAGAAGCTTCTCTGATATAGGACGTGCTGATTCAGCTTCTATTTTTATATGTTTTTTACAGCTCCTCCCACACACTGCTCCCCAGTTTTGCTTTTTCCTCTCTCCAATCCCCATGTTTTACATCTTCCCCACCCTCCTGGATTCATAAATCTCTTGGTCCTATGTCTTCATGTCCCAATTTAGCCCCATTTCCTCAATTGCCCTTAAAGTGGAACGATCTAATTTTACCTTCATAAGTTCTGTAAAAAAAAATATCTTACTTACAGCTGAATATTGACTTTCTTTTTATATAGTTGTCTAGACCTTTAAGTGAACATATTATGTTGACTTTGAGTTTTCACCTACCACCTGTCTCAGCAAAACAAAAGTTGACTCTGAGTCATACATGTACAGTTAAAAAACAGTAATAACAATACAAACAAGTAAAAATATGTTATGCTCAAAGACTGTATATATAAATGGACATGGTTAACCCACCACATTCCAAATAGGAAGTGTTCATGGGGGCACTTCCGGCTCCATCGGCTCTGTTTCCAGTTGACTTTACTTTGGAAAATACTCTGTAACTTGTACACTGAGCCTCCCATCATTTAAAATGATTGTATTAACCCACTCTACATGATCCTGGGGTATTTATTTAGCTATTTTGTATGTAAATAAATTCCTAAATTCGCTCCTATAACTGCATCATGAGCTTCATTTGACTGGAGTCAAACCCTATGGGTGACGTCACGCTCTCTTAGTCCACTTTTTTATAGTCTATGATTATGCTTCAGTAACATTAACCGTCTAAGCCTTTGCCATTCGATCCTTCCTGACATGAGCCCACCCAGTGTAAATGTGTTTTTGAGTGTGAATAGTTCCCTGGTGGTAGATTGAGTGGCAATAGATGTAGTAAAGTATATTTTTTTTTATCTTTTTATGTCCCCCACCCCCTTAAATCCTCTCACCTCCTAGCCCATCATGTCTTCCATTGTCCCCACTCACCAAACACCAGCCTGTCTGATCCCTCATAATGTCTCCTGTCCCCACAGAGGCATTCAGACAGACATCACACCAGCAGACCCACCACGCCTTGTGTTTCCAGCCCAGCACACTCACCATCTGTGGCACACTGCACTGTTTCTACAGAGATGAAAAAGCAGTTACAAAATTGTCCAATGGCATACAGTGTGTGTCAACATTAAGGAAAGAGTTATTTAAAATAGCATCTAAATGTACACTGTTTTGAGTCTATTGGTAGGCCTGTCATGATGATTACTATATCGACTTATCGTTCAATATGCATTTAATTTCATTTATGTATTTATTTTGTGCAAGTAAGCAATTTACATTATTTTACAATGGAACAGAGTATTATCCATATGACATTAATACAATCAAAACAGGAATAACAACAACGAAAAATCTGCCCAAAAAAGTGCGGAAAGAAGAAAATGTATTTAATCCCACCCCTCTCGTCTAATTTAACATAATGAGCTTTCTTTTGCATTTTTCAGACATTTTACATTAAACCATATGAACTATTTACAAGTGAGGACAATGAGTAACTCTTACAGCCTAATAACATAACTATTAAATATTAAAATAATACAAAAGGATACCAACAATGGGAAGGAAATTAAGGATATCAACAATGGTAACAGACAGCAGATACAAGTAATGGTAATGGACAGCACATACCAGTAATGGTGAGGAAGCAACAAGCATAAACCAGCACTACTGAAGGCAGTATTGTTCTGATAGTTAAAACCCTCTCTCTACTGTTACTGTTACCAGACCATATTCTTATATGACTACTTGAATTTATGGATATTTTGGCATTGCTTG